TGTAAATAATATCAGTAAAACCAAAAATTAAAATTTCACAAGTATTTTAGAAGGAAGATGAGTAAATTTCATGTTGTGGTTTTAGATTGATTTAGTGGGTTTGTTAAGGACAATAAAGACACTGTAATTGCTTTATGTACAAACAAATCAATTGGTTTGTATGAGTCACATTCACTATTACTTTACGACGAGTTATAAAACAGGAATAAGGAAAGCCCATCAAGTTTCCATCAGCACCAATAAAAATTAACAGCAAGAAAACTGAGAAGCAAAATCAGAATTATTTTAGTAGACAGAAAGTGTCTTCCTGTGGTCCAGAATGCAAAGTGGGCTCACTGGTAGGTGGCTCGGTGATTCCTGCAGGGGTCAGGTGTGTGGACAGCAGTTGGCGTAGACGGAAGCCTTAGTGCCTCAGTGGTGGGCAGGGCCCTTGGGGAGAATCCGGGGTGGTGTCTGCCTCCTCACCTGGGATCAGAAGACAGACAGGATCTCTCGTGTCCCAGGTCCCTTGCGGTTGCTCTGGCATCTGGCAGGACGAGGAGAAGATGGAGCCAGACCAGACCGGGTCAAAGTGGCCTCAGTAGCATCACAATCCTGTGGTGTGGTTGTGTCACAGTGGCCCTGGTGTCACTGTGATCCTGTAGGAGTATTGGGTCAGGGTGGCCTGACCTGTGGAAGAGCCAGGAATGGTCTGTGTTTTGGTGCAGCCCCTGTGCTGGGCTGGGGGACCAAGGAGACCCTCACTGCTGGCTCTGAGTGTCTCAGACCCTGGACCCCACCTTCTCAGTGCTCCCGGCATCCTGCTGGCCACTGCCAAGTGCCCACGTGAGCAGCAGGGCATCAGCACACACTGGAGGCCCTTGCTCTGCTCCCCCACAGTGCATCTCTGTGTGTGTTCTCTCTCTGAGCTGGGCAGGGGGTTCAGGCGAAAGCTCTTCCAGTCCCCTCCCAGGCGCTTTGCCCCAGGGAAATATGAGGCCTTCCATGCCAGCCAGGCCCCTTCTCAGCCCCTGGAGGGACTTGGGCTTGTGTTCCTCAGTGTCCTGCTCTGCACTGTTGTGCTGTTCTTCCTCTGCCTTGGCAGGGCCCACGCCCAGATCAGGGTTCTGCTGGACATTCTTCCGGCTCCGTGGTGCAGGCTAAGGACATGACAGACCCCAGGGCCATGGCCTCCCAGTCTTGCTGGTGCTTGTGGGACTGTGCAAAGCCTTCCCAGCGTGAGGTTCTCCTATAAGCTTGGGCACAAATTCCACCTCCTGTAGTTGGTCTTCCTTCTCCAGGAGTGTGCAAGTGGGTACCTACCTCGGTTGCACCAGTCTGTTCTCGGAGCACTCTTGATTTTCTTCCATGAGGTCTGTTTCCGACTGAGCTCCTCCCCCTCCCGCGTGGTCTCCAACCCGTGTCCTCTGCAGGGTCCCTAGTGACTGGCTCCCCCTTTCTTTAGAGACGCCCAGTGTCTTCACCGCCTAAAAATGAATTTGCTCTCTCTCTCCCACTCCTTCAGTTTCAGTTGTGAGGGTCTTGCAGGCAGGAAAGGGATTTTGGATTTTATCCAAAGGGCAGCAGGAAGTCGTGAAAGGGTGAGGTGGAGAGATGACCTGAGTGAGGAGGAATTTAAACAGATCATCCTGACTGTCCCACAGGGGATGGAGCAGAGTGGGGCAGAATGGGGGAGAGAGAGCCAGCGCAGGATGATGGCAGAGGCCTGGGCTAGGGGACAGCCGAGGACGTGTCCAGCTATCAGCTGCTGGTGGCTGGCTAGTAAAGAGGGAAGAGAATGGAGGACCAGGAGGAAGCTTGCGGGGGGGAGGGGAGGGAAACTCCTGAATGTCCCATTTTATGAAAAAGTACTAAAGTACTATCTGTGAAGCTGCAGAGAGGAAGGGGAAGGAGCTTGTACTTCTCCGGGAGAGCACGGATGTGTGCACGAACTGGTGTCCTGTCAGTTGCCCATTGGCGGCTGTCCACTGTGAGGAGGGTAGGTGTTCTCTGTCCCCTTCGACCCAAGACGAGTCCACATGGTGGCAGGAGGTGGGCAGGCACTGGCTGGGTCCTGTGGAACCCTCATTTCTTTCCCTTCTTGATGTGAGGCCCTGTATCTTGCAGTAGGAGGCAGCACTTCAGCTGAGCTCTGCAGTGACCGCCATGTGGCTGTGATATTTGGTGGGAGGCTGCCTTTTCCTTGGTGGCACGGCAGGATGACCAGCGTCCCATCTGCAGGTGATTCCAGTCTGAACCTTGCCAAGGCTGCAGAAGAGGTGTGAGGAACAGGGTGTGGCAGAGCTGTCCTCTCCTGCGATGCAGAGATCTCCGGGTCAGGAAGGCGCAGGGAGTTGAAGGATGCCGCAGCCGGGAGCATTGCACGGAGGGGACCACATGGCGCTCAGCCAGCGACATTAGTTGGATAAGCATCTGCTTCTATGAGGCTCTGTCTTCAGTTTCACTCAGAGAGCTTTCCTAACCTAATTACATGTGTCAACTCCGCAGTGGTAATCACTGCTCTCCACTTAACCTTCGTAAACAGCCCCATTTTCAGGGCTTTATGGGCTGTCGTGGGGAGTCTGGGTTACGCGAGACGTGACCGATCACGGTGCAGTGCAGCTGAACTGTGCAGCCCGCGATCTTCCCGTGTGCATTACGGCGACTGAGTCTTGGCACCGCCTGGCTGTCTTGGCTCTGGCATCGCCTTCGTGCATCAAGCTATGGATAATAGCAGACACTTCTAGCAAATCTCAGTGACCTGAATGGGTTCCAAGTTCTGAGAACTCGGTGAGGTTGCTGGAGAGGGAGTCCACCAATCAGCTCTGAAGTCATCCGTTGCCTGGCCCTCACCAGCCGACCCCGAGTCCTGGGTTAAGTGAACAGATTAAAACCTAACCCAGCTCTGCTCTGCTGGCCGTCAAGACAAAGCCGTGTGCGTGGTCTTCTCGGAAGCCCTGGAGAATGGATGGACAATTCTCTCTCTCTTTTTACTCTCTCTCCAGCTGTTTCTCATCTGGACTAAGCATCAGGGTGGAACATGAATGAGATGGAGGCTGAGCTGATTTGGATGTTTGTATTAAGCTATTTGATGTGTTACACTGAAGATTGTTGCCGAGCCTTCTGCGGTTATTGCTGAGTTTCTTTTATGTTTATTAAGCCATTGTTCTTCCTGATGATTAGTCCTGGGTTTTCCATTTGCTCAGTTTCTCTCTTTGCCCTGGGGAATTCTCCTGGATCATACACTGCAAATGTGTGACCATAATTTCATCAAAGTAGCCATTTTTTAAAATGCTAGGGAAGCAGAGATCCTAATGTTTCCAGGCAAGCTACAAGGCTACTTATTATTTTTGTCCTTCTTGTCACAAAGATAAATTTAAACATATAAAAGCATTTCATGAAGGCAGGTATAGTAGAATCAGTTTTTTTTTTTTGAGGAACATTATCAATATTCAACTATAATAAAAAATTAATGGGTAAAAGCAACCCTGATAAGTAATAAAGATTAGACTCATTTTATGAGGCAGGACATTCTCTGGTTGAGAAAAGTTGAAGAAAAATAAATCATCAATCTCTCCTCTGGGAGATAAAAATCTAGCGATGTCTGATGTTGGGCACAGTGTGTATTCTTCACCGTTGACAGCATTTGAGTTTCCTGTACCATTTTTCAGTTTCCGTTTCCCTTTCTCTTATTAAAAAAAAAACTTCAAATTTACTCAACCCCTCTTTGTTTTTTTACAGAGCCAGTTTGTCTGGTTCTCAGGCCAAAAATGTTTTTAACTGTTCGGCATTTATGAGACAAGGGTAAATAAGGTATGACAGAAGAAGGTGGTGTAGGAGAGAGTCCGAGACCCTGCAGTTGGCCAGAGCTGGTTTTCACCACTGGCGAGAGCTGATCAGCACGTTCTCAGGGCAGGAGGGCTGCTTGACTTCTCACTGACGGCTTGGCGGCAGTATTTTCACCATGGAAATTGGCGACTGCTGCCCATCAGGGCTCCTCCCCAGCCATGCATGAGGCAGTTACCCTGGCACTCGGCAGCCTGGCTGGAGGAGACCACAATCTCCATCCAGAGCCCTTCCCTGAGTCATTTCTGAGGAAATGCTCTGGAGAACACTGCTTGGAGGGGCAGATCCAGGGCTGCTGGGGGCTGCTTGGTCATTGCATTTGGACCCAGGATCCTGCTGAGTTCTGGGACCAGAGACACCTCTGGGCCCCCAGTGACTTTTGTGTGCTCAGTGTCACCCAGCATTTGGAACCGAGACCGAGAAGTGCCCCAGGACGACTGGAAGTCCCAGGAGGCCCAGGTGCAGAACTCGGCTTGCATCCATTCTTGCTGCCCAGACTAGTACAGCCCTTGCCTTGAGGTCCTGGTAGGAAGATGTAAAGAATCAAAGCACCTCAGGAGCTTGTTTTAAAGCTTGAGTTTTGCAGAACGATTTCAAGTTTGAGCCCAGCTAGGGCAACTTGGAGACTTAGCAAGACCCTGTCTCAAAATGAAAAAAGGCTTTGGACAGAGCTCACATGAAGGCCCTGGGTTTAATCCCCAGTACTGCAGGGGAAAAAAAAAAAGACTCACATTTTAATCCTAGCACTGACCTTACCTACCTAAAAGAAAATCAAGCTGAAGGGATGTTTTTGAGAGGCCTCCAATGGGCAGGAGGAAAGTGAATCATCTCCTTGGGTTTATAGCCACACTGAACTCCAAGAATAAAATTTCACAAAGCATGAGACATGGGTTTGTGGTGTGTGTGGTGTTTCTTTTGTGGATTTCTGAGTCAATTGCAAATCAGAGTCAGATGCTTGGAAATCCCAGGGCCGGCTTTCCCCCCCTGCGCCCTTTATCAGCTCGTAGTTCTGGCCGCATTATGACCCATTACGGGGAGTCAGAAGGCTGGTTCTGAGGTTTTCACAAACCTTGTGTTGCTTCAGCCAGCTAGCTATTTATCTGGTGCCTCTAAGCACCAAATATCCTATTGCATTTCATTTAAATATTGGCTCTTACTTTTTCTCTTTTTGCCAGCTGCAATTATAGGAAATCATCATTTGCAGGTGGAAAGAACATTTTGTAAAGTTCATTTACTAAGCCGTCTGGTAAGAACAGTCCTGGCCAAAAAGGGAACTCCACAAGGAATTACTACCCTTTGGTAATCCTCCCCACCTGTGTACCCTCCAACTCCACCATTTCAAAGGGCATCTTTGGAATTTCATCTTCGCCATCCTGACCCTTTTATTTACTCACAGGGGACTTTCCAAATTCCAAGTCTTTTACTTTTAAACTGGTTCTTTGATCTTAGTGGTTTCACATTCTGAATTTAGCCACTGATTTGGGAAAAGTCGGGAAATTCACAGAATCATCAAGAGTCAGAACTTCCCAATACAGGGGACCTTAGTCGTGTATCCATCCCGGTGTTTTCTTCCCAGGGGACAGTTGGCAATGACCGGAGACATTCCATTCATTGCTAGGAGGGGGTTCTCCTGTCATCTTGCGGAGGGAAGTAAAACATCCTATGAGGCAAAAAGATCAATTCATAGTGGTAGAGCTCAGGTGGTGGTTGTCAGAGGTGGATGGGTTGGGGTGGAGGCTGCTGGTTACACTTCAGCTGGACAGGAAGAGCAAGTGTTGATCCCTGCTGTACAGCGTCAGCCCAGGAGACTACAGTCAGTAATGACAGGCACTTCCAGCGATCTAAGAGTAAATCTCAAATGTCTCAGCACCAAAACTGATGAGTGAGGTAATGGATGTGTCCACTAGCTTCATTTAATCATTCCACATTTACACATACAGCAAAACACCACTTCTACCCCATAAATACATAGTCATTTCTTGTCTAATACAAATACTGTAATATCAGTCATAAAGTAACATGAAACACACCCATAATCCCACATTCATAATTTTTGTGTTGATTATATGTCAAAATGATAATATTTTGGACATACTGAATTAAATAAAATATATTATTAGAATTTTTAAAAAGAGGCTTCGTTTGTACACCTTCTTCTCTTCTCTCTGTCTCCAGCTTCCTGCTTACTCCTCAGCACTGGGGGTGGTGAGGGAGCAGGCCCTCTAGGCCCGCAAGCCCAAGACCTCGGCCTCCCTGGCTCGGCTCCTAGCTGCTCAACCTTAGTCCCGGCCAGGGAACAAGTGACTGCAGCCAAACCACTGAAGCTTCCTGATTGGGGAAGGAGCAGGCCATTAAGTAGAAATTTAGGACAGTGCCTGTGGGAAGGATTGGAGGATATCCCTCTCTCTCTCGGAAACTCTGGGTCACCCTGCAACAAAAACACCACGCATCCTGTGCTGCGCCCAGCAGGTCCCGGGCCTGTCTCCCGGGGAGTCCTTGACAGGCTGCCCAAACCACAGCCCTAATCACTGAGGCGCGTGGCTGACGTTTCGCAAGCCGCCTGCGCGCTGTGAGCTCTCTGCAGCCGGAAACTCTTGAGCAGCTTCGCTCTGGAGGGCTGGAGGACTTCTCTCCTTTGCCCCCTCCCCATCCTGTCTGCACAGCAGGGTCCAGGGCGCTGAGTAGCAAGGACAGAGCCGGTGCTGTCTTCCGAGGGGTGGGACTCTGGAATTTTGGCACGATCAGAGCTGTTGCTGTAATAATAATGTTTAACATTAATAACTGTTTTCATCAAGATGGATTCTGATGCACCCTCACGTTCTTCAGTAATTATAGCAAGTTCTAACAGTTTAATTTGTCTAACATGAAGCGTAGTCTTCCTGTGAGTCATGAGGGGCTGGCACACAGGGATCTAGGATCCCTGATGGATCAGGGCGAGGGGGACCTGGGCCCAGCTCCCAGCAGAAGCCGGGATGGGTCTGAGCTGCAGAAGTGCACAGGCATCAGTCCTGGGGCGTCGAGTGAATGATGTCCCCACAGCAGTGACCATGGGGCTGAGGTCGAGGAAGCAGTTTACATGGGTGTGGATTTCTATTTCCTAAAATATCGTCTCCAAAGCCACACGTGATCTGAAGTTAAAAGTGGGAGGAAACCCGAGCAGACTGGGAGGCTAAGGGGCTGCCAGGTGCTCTGGGTGGGTAGGAGCCACAGGGCGAGGCAGAGGTCCTGCCACCTGCTTCTACCCGGTTTCCACACCCGATCTCCGTGTAGTATTTCAGCAGGAGAGGAGGTCCCACTGCTGTAGGAAAGAAAGATGGAGTTTGCAGACCTGACCTGTCCAGTGTCTGACGTGAGGTGGTGACCAGAGAGGATATGGGTGGCTTGAGGCCGCACAGCTATTAACTTGCCAAGCTGAACTAGATCTGAACTCCCTGTGCTGCAGGCCCAAGGGCCTCCTAAGTACAGTGCTGACTCCAGAGCATGCTCTCCTCCCAGAGCTGCAGGTCCAGCTCCCCGCAGCTTCCACGGAAGAGTGGTGCCAGCAGACTGGCGAGTCCTGAGCACAGGGTGGGGCACTTGTCGCTGATGCAGCCATACGGGGACAGAGCCGAGGCCAGAGGCAGGGACGGACTGACTTGCTCTCGTGGGGCTGCTGCAGAGCCCCACACAGCAGGCTGGCTCCAGGGGTAGATCCCATCCTCAGCACCCTGTTCGGTGCGGGAACCACCCTCCTCTCCACTTGCTGCCGAATGCGTGGAGTTTAAGAACACTGAGTAATTTGCACAGAGACGCATGGCGCTGAAATCTTTGCTCTCTCCGCTGCCCACACCACTCTGGCCACACACGGGGCATCGGTGTGCTTGGCCCCGGCTGCTGGGAACGCTTCCCACTGTCCCAAGAGCTCCCAGGGGCAGCTGTGTCCTGGTTATCCTCTTGCTCCCAGAGCCTGGCATCACCCCTCACCAGTGTGACTCCTCCATGGAGGGTCTTGGAGCTGAACTGACTGCAGCTCGGTCCTGAAGACTGCAGCTGGCTGGGTCCCGGGGGTGCTCATCTAATGTAGCTGTGGGTGTTTTCTGGGGTGTCTGTGCCAGCATGGAATTCCTACAGGCTGACTCCCGAATCCTCTAGGAGTCCTAGGAAGGAGACTATGATAGTGGGATAAGAGCCCCCCTGAAGAGGTCCCCAACTGTGTTAGTCATTTCCTGTCATGGGGACACAATTTCCAACTCCTCTAACTTAAAGGGGAAGAGGTTTATTTTGTCTCATGGTTTTCAGAAGGTTCAGTCCATGGTCAGCTGGCTCTAAGGCAGAAACAGCTCAGTGGAAAGGGTTGGGGGAGGAAAATTGATCGACCCATGGCGGCCAGGAAGCAGAGGGAGAAGAGAAGACCCTTCCAAGCCTCACCCCAGTGACCACCTCTAAGCGGCCCTGCCTCCTGCAGCACATGGCCATGAAGTCATCAGTCGGTGAAACCACTGGTAAGCACAGCACCCCATGACCTGATCATCTTCCAAAAGCCCAACTCCTGAACACGAGACTTTCGGGGGGCCTTTCGGACCTAAGCCACAACACCAATCTAAGCTCAGGTCATTGACTAAGCCAGGTCACCCCGCTCAGAGGAGTTACAGGTGCAGATGGAAGTGAGGTTTTGAATCAGCTGACACCCCACAGGGACGTTCTCCCGAGTCTCCCAGGAGGCCCAGGGTTGTCACAGGGGCCTTAGAATGTGAAGGGAGAAGAGAAGAGTAGGTCAGAAGGAGACTCAAGGTGGAGGCAGAAGCCAGAGCGATGCTGCTATTGGGTGTGGAGATGGGAGGGGCCAAAAGCCAAGGAATGCAGGGAGCTTCCGGAAGCTGGGCAAGGCCGGGGCCGTGGTCTCCCCAGAGCCCCCAAGAGGGAGCCCGCGCTATGACTTCTGTCCAGTGGGACCCATGCAGACTTCCAGCTCCAAAACTGTAGAAGAATAAATCTGTGTCATCTCAGTCCCTTTGTGATAACGTGTTATAGCAGCAACATGACCCTGATACTGACACGATGCTCCAGTCCTGTGCGTGAATGGGTTGCTGAGTCCTTCCAGTTGATGGAGGGGTTAAGTGAGGGGACTCCTGCTGCTTGTGACAAGGAGTTCTGTCTGTGGTGCCCACCTGCACGCAGGGGAATAGATCAGCACAGGGCCCTCATGCTGCTGGGTCCAAGGATGGGCCGGATTGGATGCGGTGGTCCACACTGTAATCCTAGCACTCCAGAGTCAGAGGCAGAAGGACCATGAGTTCAAGCCCAGCCTGGGTAGCTTAGTGACTTAGAGAGAACTTGTCTCAAAATAAAAAGGATAAAAGGGCTGGGTGGTAGCTCAATGCAAAGGCCCTGGGTTCAATCCTCAATACTGTAAAAAAAAATAAAATAAAAAAGGAAAGGCTGAGATGGAGGGGGAACCGGCTGTTTATCTGAGCAGCAAGATGGTGGGAAAGATGCTGGGCTCTGCTGGGCTGTCAGAGCCGTCACAGCTGGGTGATGAGCCACACTCCCAACACACCTGTGCATATCTCTGCACACAGATGGCCCCGTCCAGGGAGCCCGGCTCCCGACACATGGCCTGGTGGGTGTGCTCACCAACAGGCAGCCCTGAGGTGCCCATGGTACTGGCGTCAGGGCGGGGACCCTGTGGCCGGGCTGCATGGCCACATCTTGCAGCACACAGCCTCTGAGCCAGGAGCTGCAACCCTGGCTGTCCCGGGCCGGGCCGGTGGCAGGAAGGCGTGGGTAGTGGAGGAGGAAACTAGGGCTGGGCACAGGTGAGCAGGCTCCTTCCTGCGGCCCCATCCCACTGTCGCCTGCAGGGACGCGGGCCCAGCGTCTTGGTTTTTCAGGGGAAGCCAGACATAGGGATTTTTAAAAATCTGAGGCACTTTAAAATGTTTCATATTAATATTTATTTTAAAATACTAGCAACTAATTCAAGTTTTAAACATTGTGGAAATTAGACATGGTTGGGAGCTGGATTCAGGCTGCCGGTGCCCAGCTTGGAGCCTTCAGAGAGGTCACGTGGTGCTGTGAAAAGTGACCACGGGCGCTCGTGCTGGGAGGGAGGAACATGGTAACTGCAGTGACTCCAGGCCTCTGGCCCCTGGCTGCTGGGACAGCTGTTGGCAGCCCCTCTGGGTGGGACGCCTTCGGCCACAGGACCTTGGCCACACACGCTGACTAAGCCTGTGGCTGGACTTAGCCGAAAGAGAGAAGCAATAATGCAAGGTGAAGGCCACCGTCTCCCAGTCTGCGTTTAAGTGCTCCTCCTGGAGAAAATCAGACTGATCATCATCTCTTCAGCTGGAGTCAGAGCAGAGGTCGGGTGGCCCGGGGCTGACAGTGTGCACACCCCAGTCACCCCACTGTGTGGACGTGCAGCCCCAGGGCTGGTTGGTGCGTGTTCAGCGCGGGGTCAGCCAGCCCCGAGGTGGCCGGTGTCCAGCTCACTGGGCTTTTGGCAGAGCCCACAGTCTGCCCTCCTGGGGACACTGCCCTGGCCTTGGGGGTGGAGAGGGGCACCCACTTCTCAGGCTGCGAGGGAAGGGAGGAGGGGAAGAGATGACATTGCCAGCGGGCAGAGCCTTGAGGGACCCGGGAAGGGCGTCAGGGCCATTAGCAGCGACGCTGCTTGGTAACCGCGACAGACATAGAGAGAAGATGATGTAAAGAGACATGGAGACGCCGGCCTGTTGCTGGCCTGACAATCTCCTGGGCTTTAGAGGACCCAATGCCACCATCAGCAGGACCCGGACTTCCGGCTTCCAGCACAGTGAGCGAATTGCTTTCTGTTTTCAGCTCCAGCTGGAGGTACTTGGCCACAGCAGCCATAGCTAGCAAACTAGCTCAGGCATTCGCATCTATTTTTTGCTCTTGTAAATAGTTTTGTGAGAACAGAAGTGTGCGTGAGCGTGTTGTGCTCCCTGCCTGTTGGAATTCAGCTCCCATGGCCCCTCCACCCCAAGGGCCTTTCGCTGAGTCCATTTTCTGTTGCTGTAGCAAAACACC